ACTGAAGTGAGTGACAAAGTCGGCGAGTACTTGCGATTTTATCGTAGTTCGCGGTTGATATGTTATATCATGCTCGCTCAATTTTATGGCCCATTTGGCCAATCTACCTGACAGCTCGGGTTTGTGCAGGATGCTCTTGAGGGGAAAAGTCGTCACCACCTTTATGGGGTGACACTGAAAATATGGTCTGAGCTTACGTGAAGCTACGACCAACTCCAAAGCCAATTTTTCGAGGTGGGGATACCTCGTTTCGGTGTCAACTAAAGTTTTGCTGATATAGTAAATCGGAAATGGCGTACCATTGTTTTCGCGGACCAAAACCGCGCTCACCGCGACTTCGGAGACGGCTAGGTAGACGAGGGTGCATTCACCTGGATCTGCCTTGGCGAGTAACAGTGGTGAGGACAAGTAGGTTTTCAGTTTTCTTAGGGCGTCTACACACTCCGAATTCCACTGGAGCTCGTTGTCTTTCTTTAGCACACTGAAAAATTTATGACACCTGTCCGACGACCGTGAGATGAACCTTGACAGGGTAGCTATCCGACCTGTCAGTTTTTGCACCTGCTTTTTGCTGGTTAACATTTCTGGTATTCCTTCGATGGCCTTAATCTGATCTGGATTGACCTCGATGCCTCTTTGCGACACGAGGAAATCGAGGAATTTGCCCGAGGTTACGCCAAAGGCGTATTTTTCGGGGTTTAGTTTCATGTCGTACTGCCTTAGTATGTCGAAGGCCTACTTCAGATGATCGATATGGTCTTCTTTCCTTTTCGACTTAACCAGCATGTCGTCGATGTAGACTTCCATTGTTTTGCCGAGTTGATCTTCGAACATCTTGGTGACAAACCTCTGGTACGTTGCCCCTGCATTCTTTAGTCTGAACGGCATGACCCTATAGTAGTACGTTACCTGGTGAGTGATGAAAGTGGTTTTCTCCTGGTCTTCTTCCTCCATGAGGATCTGGTTGTAACCCGAGTAGGCATCTAAGAAGCTTAGCAACTCGTGTCATGCTGTTGCGTTGATGAGCTGGTCGATGTGTGGCAATGAGAAGGAGTCTTTTGGGCATGCCCTGTTTAGGTCTGTGAAATCTACACACATCCGCCACTTTCCATTTTTCTTCTTTACCATGACCACATTGGCGACCCACTAAGGATATTTTGACTCTCGGACGTAGCCGTTTGCGAGTAGCTTATCGACTTCTTCGATGACGGCTTTATTGATTGCGACGTTGAATTTCCTCCTTATTTGCCGCACTGGCGGATAGAGGGGGTCAACATTCAGTTTGTGTGTGGCGATGCCTTTCGGGATGCCTGGCATATCTGCATGGGAGAAGGCAAACAGATCGGCATTGTCAGTTAAGAATTTACGAAGCTTACCTAGTTCTGAGAGGTTATGCCTGATATAAGCCTTTTTTGTGTTGTCATTGTCGTCTAATAGGATGGGATCGAGATCCTCTATTGTCGACTCGGATGCTTCCACGATGTCGGGGTCCTTGATAACGTCTGTCCGTACGTTAAGTTTGGTTCCCGACATCGCTGATTGCTATGCTTCCGTACTTGCCCCTTTTAGTTGTTGAGTGTGTGCGCAATCCTAGGCGATGCAATAGCATTCCTGTGTTGTGCGTTGTTTGCCCCGGAAGTTGAATACCCCTCATGGAGTAGGAAACTTGATTACTTGATAGAGACTAGGCGGCACTGCTCGCATGACATGTATCCACGGGCGCCCTATGTAGCGTTGTAGGCTGTATCTTGGTCCATGACGTGAAACGTCGTTTCCAGGGTGACTCCTCCGGCTAGGACGGGTAGCACTATCTCTCCAGAAGTTCGCTCAACTGCATTATTAAAACATGTTAGTGTTATGCAACGCGGTATTATTCTATCTTCGAGTCTCATCTGTATGAGGACTCGAGGATGGATAATACACGCGTTGCTCCCGTCATCTACCATTATTCTTTTTACATCAGTATCTGCAATACGTAAAGTGATAACAAGAGCATCGTAGTGAGGGAAAGACAAACTATCGGTATCTGACTTATCAAAGATGATACTATCTTCGAGGTCATCATACCGTTCATGAGTGATCGACCGTTTGAGTTTATGGGTGGTGGTGAACTTTACATGATTGATTGCTGTGTCATCACCCCCGCCAATGATCATCTGTATTGTGCGAGCGAGAGAAGGCGGTTTTGGAGGTCCCTAGGGTTGTTCGCGTCCGCGGGCAAAGTTAACCCATCCTTGATCGCTCAGCAATTCTTTCAGGTGTCCCTGATTTAGCATTCTCACTACCTCCTGCCGCAATCCTATGCAATCTTCGGTTTTGTGACCCCTTTCCTGGTGGAATTCACATAGAGCATTCGACTTCCGAGTGCTTGGGTCGGACTTCATCTTTTGCGGCCATTGTACATTTGTACCGAGTTTCTCTAGTGCATACACTATTTTTGAAGGAGAGACACAAAAATTGTGAGTAGATAGGAGCGAAGGCATACCTTTCTCGTGTCGATGTGGCGCTGCATGCCGAGAAGGACCATCCGTGTGCCGCAAAGGAGGTGGGATAGATGTCCTGATGTAGGGCTGATGCCTTTCTCGGCCGAGACGGGCCCCCAGCTGATCTCTTCTACCGTCGTTGCGATGATCTTCCCTTGCTTTAGTTTGAACTGACGTTAACCGTTGGATTGGACCGTTGAGGTCGTCCTCGTCGGCTCTTACCTCGGTGCAGCCATTCCCTTTGACACATTTGGAAAGCTCATTCTCACCCTGTTAAACCGAGCTAAGAAGTCCCTGAGTCCCTTGCCGTGCATCTGCCTAACGGCAAATATGTCGTTTACTCTGGCTTCCACCTTTTTGGCTCATACATGGTGGTGACAAACTTGTCCGCCATTTCTTCGAACATTGCTATCGAACGTGCTGGTAGTTGTGAGTACCAGGTTAGGGCTCCCCCTGTCAGGGTTTTGCCAAATTTTTTCAACAGCACCGATGGTATCTGTTCTTTCGAAAGATCGTCACCTTTTACGGCTGTGATGTAGTGGATGATATGATCTTCTGGATCTGTAGTACCGTCATATATCTTCAGGTATGGTGGCATTTTGAAGGTTTTTGGAATGGCGTAGGGGGCGCTTCCTCATTGTATGGTTGCTCGATGAATCGACCAACGTCCCATTTTGGTAACAACTTTGGGGCGCCCAGTATTTTGTCGACCCTTTCTTGGTGCTCCTTCATCTGGTCACGGAGTGCCTTATTCTCATTTTCCATTTCCTCTATTTTCTTTAAAACGGCTGCGAGCGTGTCATTACCTGCATCAACAGTAATACGAGTGTTACCTGTGCGGGGAGCATCTTGCTCGTCAGCGATCGCCGTGACATCTACGTGTGCAATGTCTCTATTATCCCTTTGGGCGGGCTTATCAAGCATGTTGTTCAGAGTGCTTGTTAGCCACTCTTCCAGTAGTTTTCTTACTACCGGTGGTGTCTCTCCTGTTGTAGACGTGGAGGCTTCTTTTTCGCACGAAGCAGTTACACTTTCGTGCGGAGGAGGTGAAGCGTCTCCCCTAGGTGTGGTGTTTGGTGTTGCATTTTCGTTATTTTCCCTGCTGTCTTCGTTGATGGTGTTCAAGATGTTGGTTGTGACACGTGCTATTGCTTTTAGCCTTGCATCTCCTTTTCCTGCCATTGTTGGTTTGTGCGAAGCTAGGAAGATGTGGCTATCCCTTTCTATGATCTAGATGAAACTGAAATCTAAACTAGAGATGCCCCACAGACGGCGCCAAATTGTTTGACCAAAAGATGTCAAAACCTTTTTGATTAAAATAATTTATGATAATGATGAGGGCAATCTTAGTCAAGCACAATAAAATCTAGATCAAGTGATGGAGGGGGTTAGCAAGATGAACGATGTAACAAATATGTTAAAACCAAATAAATGCTCATAAATGTGAAAACTTAAATGCACAATGAAACCTTAATTGATGAAATCGATGTGTGTGTGGGTGGGGGGGGGGGGGGAATAAGTGTAAGATGATTGGGGAATCTTAGGATCTTCTTAGGTGAACAAGACTTTTGGTATTCCCTCTCAGATAATACGTTTACAAAGTGTTCTTTTGTCCTCTTTTTTCCGTCCCTCTTTTTCTTCACTCACTCTTCCTATTTATAAGGGAAATCTCCCAAGAAACCCTAAAAAGTACCACATTGAAAATATTCGAAAGGCATATTCTTATTGTCTCCTACTAAGGTTACATTATAGTGGACGCCACGCGTCGACTGACCGCCCTTGTTCGTTGCCTTTCGCCACGACGACCATCAGACAATGCATCATGGTAACCTCATTCTTCGCCCTACTCAGTAACGGTCGTGGTTGCCAAATTTAGACCCATACAACCAGGAGATTGAGGAGTATCCAAAAATGCATTTCGGGAATCAACCTGATTTTATCTCTTTCATTTTGTTTGAAAAAAGGAAGGATCCCAAAGAATCGGTCTTTCTTTTCATTGTTGAATCTTTCTTTGATTAATCAATGTATGATATTCTAAATCCTCATTGGCTATAATCTGTTACTTGAATGAAACTAGATCTTGTAGAATCATATCGAAAATGGTGCAAATATAAGTATCTATTAAGCTATTCTATGATTATTAAGTAATAAAATAAGTTGTGAAATTAATGTAATAATGATGTCAATGAAATTGTGTCAAACTTTCAAGGATATCGCAGATAAGAGTATTACATAAACAGAAAAAGATAGAATTATTCCTCCTAGTTGATTACTTTAACATTTCGCAAATCTTCTATAACTTAATTATCTCCTCTATATGAATAACCATAGAAGCGGACCACCCCTAAGTAGCTCATGGTTTGGACACATAGCATACAAGAAGCAACTTGTTATGAATTATGATCAATATTGATATGCGAGACATTATTGTTTAAGTAATTTCAATAAATTTTCATATTTTATTCTTGAATCAGAATAAATTATAAAGAATTAAACCTCGGCTACATGAGCAAAACATCCAAGCTAATAGTGGATAGTGAAATGTGTTGAAAACTATAAGGTCTCAGGTTAAAATCCCAAACAGAAGCAAGAACGCAAGGTAATTTCTTCCTATCTGTTCAAGTCTAAGTGCACAGAGTTACCCGGTACTTGTGCTGATGGGAAGTAATAGGTAACCGGTACAGAGTTTCACAGGACATTACTAGAAGTTGCTGCTTTCCACCCCCTTCTTAATTTTTCTCTACCTTTCTCTACTTAAATACCAAGCATATGTGTGCGACAAGGTTTGAACCCGTGACATGCGCCTAACCCACACAGTGCGCCTAACCCACACATCACACATTGCACTTACCACTAGACCAAAGCCCTGTGAGTCAGCTTCCTCGCTTTTTTCACCAGGTTACTTACCAACAGTCCTTGAATGCATTCATGAGGCCACAAACTTTTCATTTCAGTCAAATAGTACAAAAATGAGCAGGCCATTATGCTCATTATTAAACTCCTAGGTTTTCAAACCTTATGTTTTGCACCGAGAAGAAATCAATAGAATCGTCTGATACTAGATGAAGAGGTACCCTGGAAAGCAGAAATAGAGGCACAGGCCTGCCATTAGAAAAAACCTTGAAGAGATGAAATAAAACCGAGGTATATCCATTGAAAAGCTAAAAGCTCGGAGTTCAGATGCTTCAGGAAGTGCTAGACGCAAGGCTTGCGCTATTGCTTAAAGGGCTAATAGGACTCTCTGCTCCCCAACATTCCCTGGAGTTTGAAGCATCATAGATTTAATCCCATTCGATGCAATTTGAGAGCTACAAGAATCCTGCTTTGCTCTGAAAACGCCCCATAAATAGTGTTTGCCTTGGAATCCTGCCAACCAGTTTTCTCAAGCAACTTAAATAGAAATTTCAGTGAAGCAGCGTTTATCAAATATCAAATAAAAACTTACTCCAGTGAAGCAGGGGCAATTCCGTGGAAGTGAAAACCAATAGTTCAGCATTTGTCACAACTGCTCGGAGAGCAAGTTGTTCGCCAATCATCTCCTCAACCAAATGATCAAAATCCATCACATGTCTGTACTGAGAAAAAATAGAATGACAACAAGCGAATCTGATGGAAAGAAAAAGGCCAGGCTGGTGCACAAAGCATCCCGCGTTCACGTAGGGTACAGAGAAGGGCCGTTTTCTAAGGGGGTATGATGTAGGCAGCTTACCCTGATGCAAACATCAGTGGCTGATTCCACGACTCGATCCCGTGACCTATAGGTCACACGGAGACAACTTGACCGTTGCTCCAAGGCACCCCCTTCAATCTGATGATAAACAAAGTGTAAAATAGTGAAAATATAGAGTAATTACCTCGCATCCAAAGGAAAGAAATACAATGCAATATTAACATCAGAGGGTTCTGATGTGTTAAAACTCTTAGGCCATATATGAGATTTCGGAAGCATTTCCAGGTTAAGCAAAGGTGGAAATAATTTTGCTTCTTCAAAAACCTTTTGGCATGCTTTGACTGATAAATGCGCTACAAGTCCGCCAAGTATCCCATACTTTTGGTTCCATATATTAAAACCACCCCTGCCAAAAAAAGTGCAAGAAAACAAAAAATTCATTCACAATAAAACAGGTACATGAAATGGAGCCTTGGTGTAACTAGTAAAGTTGCTAACATAACACCAGGAGGTCACAAGGTCGAGCCATGGAAACAACCTCTTGCAGAAATGCAGGGTAAGGTTGCGTACAATGGACCCTTGTGGTCCGGCGCTTTCTCGGACCCCACGCATAGCGGGAGCTTAGTACACCGGGCTACCCTTTTACTAAACCAGGTCCATATTGATGATAAAATCTCACAAGCGAATAATACGTGAGATATCTCCTGACCTCCAAATAGGATCATAAACAGGCTGTGCTTGTTCCTGGACACCATGTATAAAATCTTTTGGCAGTTTGCCGTTCAAAGATTGAGAAGCGTCTCCATTTAGAGCAGTTCTATTTTCAGGTGTCGATCTCCTGTCTCTTTTTGATTCCCTTCCATGACAATCATTAGACGAAAATATACTCCCCTTTTCTGTGATCGCAGAACAATCACCCATTGCGTCGAGCTGAGTATTTGCCTCACGAGGTTGCTTGGAAACACAAGGTTGAAGACTTTGCCCAACCATCTGGGTCAGTGAACAATCAGTCTCTCCCTTCGACAACTTAGTTGCCAAGGCAGAAAGATCAGCTAATTGAGTTCGTTCATTGCAACCAGTTCTTGCTTGTAATTGCTCCGAAGAGCTAATTACTAGTGCTGTTACATCTTTCTTATCAATCACATAAGTAGGATTACATTTCTCCTTCTCGCTAATCTTCCTACCTTCTCTATCATCTCCTAATTGACTATGCTCTACCAAATCAATCTCGGGACATTTCTCGACATGTTTCAGCACCTTGACCTCACAAGCATCACAAACCCAACAGACATATTCATCAAATGTTTCCGGAATTTTATCAAGGCAGTAGCTGAAGAGTTAAAAGAAAACCGAGGATTAGAAAATCAAAGAAAGACATCTACCTAAAATCTTTATCATTATTTAAAGACAATCATGCCATAGAAAACAAAAGTTACAACAAGGAAATAAAAGAAGTTGACACATGATACGGATAGACTATGACTAGCAACAGCAGATCACTTGATGATCAAGACTAAGAACAAGAACACTAGTCATATTTCCAAACCAAGAAGAATATAAAACTGTCTTAATATATTTTCATTTTATAATTACAGTTAAAAATACAAGCACATGTTCTGGTGATTTTGCAGTGACTAATCTTAGTTCCATTATCAACTAATGTATTTCCGGCCATCATCAATTAAAGCAAAATGGCAAACCTGAAATTTTCACGAAAGAGAGAACAAAAACTCAAAAAACAAAAGCTAATAAGAGACTGTAAAATCATTGAACTTTACAATGACATTTAGTAGTGTGTCAACTCACCGATGCACAGCAACTTCTAGACATTCTACACAGAAAACAAAGGCGTTAGAGAATCCTTTGTCACCACACTGTAGACATATTGTCACCTGCAGAACATGGCGAAATAAGTATGGAAAATACAGTTATAGGCAAAGCAATATAAAACTAGTGGGTAGCTTCCACCTAGCTAGCATTTTTCTTCGTTTGTATTGCAATTTGTACACTGTGCTTCTAGTTCGATATTGAGTAGGCTAAGTTCACCTTGCAGATAGTCTTTCTCCGTGTTTTTCAAAAGTAAAAAGCGCAAAAAAGCGACAAGGTCTATGGAGCTTAAAACAAAAAGTGAGAAGGGACACACACGATTCTTTGAAGTAAAGCGCAAACTTCAGGAAAAAGCAATAAATGCCAAACATATATGAATTTCGTACTATAACAACAACAACAACAACAACAACAACAACAACAACTACCTAGTAAAATCCCACCAGGTGGGGTCTGGGGAGGATAATGTGTACGCAGACCTTACCCCTACCCGATAGGGCAGAGAGGCTGTTTCCGATAGACCCTCGGCTCAGAAAAACGGAAATAAAAAAACAAGAAAATAAGAAAAGACAACTCATTAGTAACTCCAGTATAAACCGTAATAGTAACGAAAGCATAACAACCAAAAGATAAAAGACATGCAATAACAATAACTAGTATCTAAGGCCCAGGGCTAAGATAAACAGCAAGTACAGAGTGTATTCAGCATAAACTGCAAGCTATCTAAGATCAACCCTAATCCAACCCCGCCTCACCCCCGGAATGAAGTAAGGAAAGTTCTACTACCCCCTAACCTACAACCCTAATGCTTGACCTCCAGACCTTCCTATCAAGGGTCATGTCCTCGGAAATCCGCAGTCGTACCATGTCCTGCCTGATCACCTCCCCCCAATACCTCTTAGGCTTCCCTCTACCTCTTCTCGTACCTACCACGGCCAACCGCTCACACCTCCTTACCGGCGCATCAAGGCTTCTCCTCTGCACGTGCCCAAACCATCTGAGCCTTGCTTCCCGCATCTTGTCATCCACAGGGGGCCACACCCACCTTCTTCCGAAGAATTTCGTACTATAACAATCAAATTGAAATTAATATACTAATTTTCTACCTAATATACAACAATAATTGTATTAATCCAACTTCTGAATGTTGATATTCAAATAACCAACCAATCTCATTTGGATCACCTTGAACATCATTTTTAGAAACACATACTTCACTGAAGCATATGGCTTCGCTCGTGAAGCAAGAATCGCTAGCTTCACATCATTTCATCTCTTTAAGCGATGAAGCGATGTCTTTTAATTAGCACCAGTCTTTCTTTATTGCCACCACTAGTTAAAGTGATTGCAAGCAGAACTTTGGACACTTGGTTTCTTTAGTAAGTTAATCCAGCCAAGCTTGCGCTATGCTTGGCATTCTTACAATTATAACCAGGTAAATGATTGTTCTATATGTTTTAAAAGACATAAAACCTCTTAATACGTTGAAGTAAAACAATTCATACACAATTGAAAAACATCTATCCATGAAAGTTCTTATTTTATCTAAATAATTTCACTATCCACAAACTATGTATAACAAACAATTGAAAAACATCTATCCATGAAAGTTCTTATTTTATCTAAACAATTTCACTATCCACAAACTACGTATAACAAACAATTGAAAAACATCTATCCATGAAAGTTCTTATTTTATCTAAACAATTTCACTATCCACAAACTACGTATAACAAGTAAAGAAAACATAGCAAACAGCCCGGGGCGGAGCTACTAGGCATTTTGTCGAAAAATTATACCGAGCAAATAGGTGGAATTTTTTTGATATATACAAAAAGGGCAGCCCAGTGCACTAAGCTCCCGCTGCGTGCGGATCCGGAGAAGGGCCGGACCACAAGGTTTTATTGTAAGCAGTCTTACCCTGCATTATAAATTGGTAATCCCCTTGAGACAAGGGAAAATTCTAGTGTAATGATAAAGGGGGTTCAAAAGTTGTTTTATGTCACAAGATCAACTCTATGACATTCTAATATTTTTTTTGAATCCCCTCATATAAATTTCTAGCTCCGCCTTTGTTTAATCAGCGTATCGCAAAACAACAAATCACAAGTAAAAAGTTCTTTCACAACTGTCAATGAAGAGAATACACATTTTCCTTCTCTGTGGCGAACCTGGTGGTATAAAACTAAATAAATTCCGAAAGCCCAAAATTGGTGATAATTAAATATACACATCATATTCCTGATTTTATTTGCAAGAGCTCAAATCAGCCACTGATGCTCGTGTCAAGGTAGACTGTCTATATCACACCCCCTTGGGGTGGGCCCTTCCACAGACTTAGGATTGTGAAATAGTGAATTTTAGAGTTGACTCTGAACTCTTAGGTCTCGTTTGGTACGAGTTATAAGGGATAATTAATCCCGAGATTAAATTGGAGATGAGTTTATCCATATTTGGTTGGGATAAAATTGCAGTATAACTAATCCGGTATTGTGGTATTATTTCTATCCCTATGGAGGGTGGGATAACAATTCCAGGATAGTTAATCCTACTTGTTTCCCAACCAAACTACCTCTTAATATTAGTTCTATAAAAATTTAGAGTATTAACCGAAGTAATTACAATGCTTTCGTGCATCAAGCTGCCTTTTAATACTCAGGACTTAGCAACTAAAAATCCGAACAAAATGAAACAAAGAGAAACAAATACTGAAGAGAACAAGAAAACTGTACAAGCACTTAAAAACATACCATGGTGGGAAGAAATTTAAGGACCCAGAAATAAATGCAGATAGACAATGGAAATATGCGAAGGAAAAGCTCATGTAATAAGAATTGAGGAAGATTCTGAACACAACAACTGCGTTTGTGTTACTTATTCGTCAACTCAACTCGCAACGATATGTATATTAGTTAGATGGTACTTGTAAGTACAATTGGAATTAACGGGTTACAAATCAGTGAGTTGGGTCAAACTTTGGCGGGTCAATATATATATAGTTATTTTCGAATATGTTATTTAGAGATTAGCATGTACTTATTTTGTCCTGAATTTTAAATTGAAAATCAGAACTTGAGAATATTTTTGTCTTGAAAATTAAAAAATTAAAATACTGAATGCGCTGGCTAATTCTTAAATAGCAGCTCTTTAGATTGATGACATTGTGTCATTTCTACCCTATAGTAACATCACTAAATAATATGATCATCTGAATATGGGATTATAAATCGGAAGTTAAACAATGAGGAGAAGGCTTTAATTTATACTAGGGTTTACTTCATCTCAATTTAATTTTTTTTTCTATTTTTATTTGGAAAGGAAAAACAAGATTGTGAAGGTTAAGGAGATAGAACGTACTCCCTTTAGAGCTTGTTCGGAAAGCCACTTAAAAATTGGATTTGGGAGTAATTACAAAGTTTGGCATGTTTATGTTTACACTGTGTAATAACAATGTTACTTTTAATATTTTTTTCTATTTTTGTTTTTATTTTAATTTATTTTCTTTATAACTTTTTATTTTCATCATTTTAATTTCTTTTTATTTTATTTTTTATGTTATTTTTACTTTTTAATTGTTAAATATATTTTTCTTTGTATACTATTATTATCTTTTATTTCTCGACCTTTACTTCTTGTGATACCATGTAATTGCTCAATGTATTTTATTTCTTATTTGTTTTATTTTCTTCATTTAGCGTAATTGCATTATTATTCTAGTTTTTGAAACAACACCTCCTATTAGAAATAATGAGTCATTAACAAACTTAGCATATGATGAGTGATGTCATTAAAGTAGAATTTTATTGTTGAGTGAGGTTATAAACTTATTATGTTTCTTAGTCTTCGGTTGTAACTAATTTTTATTATGTTGGAATTTGACATATGCTAAACTATTTTTTTATTTTTTGGATTTTGAAATTATGTTATATTTATGGTTCCAATTTACTTGTTTTGATAATTACTTCATTTAAAATTTAATGTAACTGCGTAATTACACTTGTGCAACCAAACAATACGATTGTAATTACTTTATAATTATGTTATGACAAACAAACAAGTCATCGTAATTACTATATTGAATAATTACTATGTTGTTATGACAAACAAACAGGTCATCGTAATTACTATATTGAATAATTACTAGGTTGCCAATTCCAATTACCAGGTGGCTTTTCAAACATATCCTTGGTTCAATTCATGTAAAATTACTTTTTATAGTCTATTTAAAAAAGAATGACTTATTTTTAAATTTGAAAATAATTTTGCAAACTTTCATTTTACCAGTAAAGAAAAACTTTTTAGCCACACAAATGTTACACATCTTTAAAATCACAAGATTCAAAACTCTTATAGACATAATTATTATGACATGTTTAAGATCATAAGCTCCAAAAATCTTTCGTTATTAAATTTTGCTTAATCGAATAAGTTCACATGATTGACAAGGATAAGAGTATGATTTTAAGATATTTTTTAAAAGGAGGAGAAAGACCCTCTAAAATAATATTTCCGAGACGTCCCAAAACTATTTTTTGACCATACATGTCCTAACTGAAAAAATAAAATTTCTGGCTTAATTAAAGAAGAAAATTCTAGAATTGACAAGTGAACTTAATTAAACCAATATTAAATGAGAAAATAAACAAAAGGAAAGTTAAAAAGAAACTTAAATTATCACATGGGTGCCCGACTAAATGCTATCAAATACTTGTTTACTTTCAAAATCGGATAACAATTGAATTTGTAAGTGGTTTTAAGGTTCCGTGGATTAATTTGATACAAAGCAATAAATTGAATTAAATTGAACCATTAAAGATAAAAAATAAATTCAAACCACACACATAAGATAGTTTTAGCTTTAGTGAAATCTTCACCCTCGATCCGGGCTCACTATAGCCAGCACCGATGAACAAAGAAGAGCTAATGACAGAGATAAATAATAATATATTACCATGGAATGCCTGTTACAACGTGTGTTGTGAATTAGACCCCGTTTATATAGTAAGAGAGTCCCACCCTTGGTACAATTCTATAAAAGGTAAAAATCTTCTGAGTAACTGATTACCGGTTCCCTATCGTTACATGCCGAGATCCCCGCCGTGATATCCGATTGGTCATGGATATCACGAATTTCTGTTGGTTGTGCTCGATTACTTGAAAATGTTCTTCTAAGTCATTCAAGGCCAGGACTGATCCCGAACCATGATCCCGATATTCTCGAGGGTGGGCGACATGGTCCCAGATTCCGAATCGATAAGATCTTTACCTCGGTTTCGGCCCATTGTTATCATATCTCGAGCTTGCTTATCATGTCGGAGACCGGGTGTATCACGATACCAGTTTTACCCGTATACAGATAGTCCCCTCGTTTCTCGGAGCGTAAACGACGAGAAATGATATGAGCTCCCGATTTCTACTTCGATACATCGTGAAAGAAACGACAAAAACGATACCTCTCTCCTTCGTTATTTTTCACTAACCTGTATGCAGACACCCGGCCAGGGCATTCGGAAGTGCTAACTCTACCCGAAGATCCCAAGGCTTTGATGGAGACCGTCGCACTCTTTCCCCTCGGCTAGACTTCCACCCCGAAGAGGGTCTCGCCAGCAAGGTTCTTAGCGGAGCAACGTACCCCCTAAGGAGGATCCGACAAGATCGCAAGCCTTCTTTGCAATCAAACGATTAAGGGCACTCCCCCTTGAAGGCGTCGTCCGCTCGGAAGGGCCGGGGAATGGTAGACTGAGTTTCAATAGGGAATCATGTACCGGACCAGACAGTCCAAGGAGCCGCGCCCGTGCGGGCCAAGCTCACAACAGCAAAACGACATGTATTTACGCCAAGCAATAAAAGAATATCTTTCAGCATCTCGTACTCCAAAAAAGGAAATTTCAGCATGCTCACAGCAGGGGTCCCTCCACTGAATGCGTCCGAAATACTCGGAGACTTAGCGTCAACAATTTGGCACCCGCACGACCCCAAGGTCGGAACTCCAGGCTCATAAGGCCCCAACAAGGCAACTCCGAGCTCACGAATAACGGCCTTCGAGCCTAAGCAAACTCGATGACTCGGAGGCTGTCGTCAATGTTGATACCCAATTTTTCCCTATGTATTTTTACATGCAAATACTTTCAAAATAGCATACCCAAGTGTTTTAGTATTTTTCCTAATTTTTAAAGGATTTTTAAATCAATTTATTGCCCATTTTAGCAGTACAAAAATCAATAACTATTCCCAAAATTATCATTTTGGTGAATAACTTATTTTATTCATATATTTATACCAAAATATAGCTAGGGTAATTTTTATACATTTTTACAAATTTATTTGGTATTTTAAAAGCTAAATTGCATATAATTGCAATTTTAGCCTATTTTAAGATTCAATAACATTTTATAATTATGAAATTGGTTCCAATATTTTTAAATTAATATTTGTATATTATTAACTGATCCAGTACTTTTAATTTATTTTTGAAATCATTTTACTATTTTTATGAATTAAAAAGGTAAAACTGGCTATTTAAAATCTGGCCCCATTTCGTTTCAATTATGGCCCAAATTGATCCCCCTAATTGACCCAATTTCAAACCCCTAACAGACCGACCCAATTTCAATCCAACCTGCCTCCGACCCAACCAATTTAACCCGCCCGACCCTCTCTTCTAATCTAGGCCGTTGATCATTTTTGATCAACGGCCACGATCATTCCTTGCCTTTTTAATCCCCAAAGACTACCCTAATCCCCTCATTCTCTTCTATCATCCGCCTCTGAAATCCCTCTCCTCTCAAACTCTCTCGAAACCCTAGCCTCTCTCACCGGCTTCAACCTCAATCTCAGCGGAAGCCATGGACTCTCAGGCCATGGAGGGCTTAAACTCATCTCCCTATGCTCTTAAACATTTGGTATCTGAAGGTTCGAAGTCTGACCTCGATGGTGTCCATTCATATCTTCACCGATTCAAGGTTCTATGGTCATCTCCGGCCCGACTCCGGCACACTATGGTGTTTTAAGCCTCGTTCGGACTTATCCGACTCAGATCAGACCTTTTTCCAAGCCTTTCTCGTTTAGGGTTCCTCTGAAACCCTAGCTATTCGAGGTTTTCTCTGATTTTTTCTTATATCTGTTACATATCTGTTCTCTACTTGAGTTTTTAAATGTTTTCCCCAATTTTAATGATTGAGAATATCAAGGTATATTGTCTCCTGTTTCGACTGATAAATCCAAGAAAAATTGCTATATCGTCAATCCAAAGGAGAGAAATGAGTTTGGATATAATGCTGATTCAGAAGAATTTAACTCTTACAGAATTGATAAAGAAGGGGATATTGATTATCGAACCTATTCGATTGTCTGTAAAAAATAACGGACAATTTATTATGTATCAAACCATAGGTATTTCATTGGTTCATAAAAGTAAAGACCAAACTAAAAATTACTTCTTTCCGATTTAAGGTTTTCTGAAAAGCTTAAAATGTTTCTCTGACTTCTCTTTTTCTTTTCTTTGTGTGTACTTGTCTATACTATGTTCTTATGTTTTCTTTTCCACCACGCATGTTCTTCTACTGCGTTCTTATGTTTTCCTTTATCATGCATGCATGTTCTTCTACTGTGCTCCGTTCTTTCTTCTACTGTGTTTCTATGCCATGCTCTCACATGTTTATCCCACTGTGTTTTCCTATATGTTCTTTTGCTATACTGTTCCGGTGTTCTTGTGCTCTTCTACTGTATTTCTCTACCATGTTCTTAAGTGTTTACTGTTTCACTTCTACTTTACCTTGTTTTAAGACCCGTTTAAGCATGTTTTTCGCTACTGTTTCTTGTACTCTCATTATGCTTCGAACTTTCTATTGTATTTGCTCGTCTTCTTATGATAATTATGAAAAGAAATCTCTGAGCCT